ACGCAATATGCTTAATGAAGATATCAAATTACGGGCACACCTTAATTCGATCCGATGGACGAAGGGACGTGGATAAATGGTCCGAATTTGTCAAAATGCTCGGTTGCAAAAATTCGCTTGATCGCTTGATCAAAGAAATTAGCATCATAATTGGTCCCATTTGCTAAAAGTCTTGGTGTTGATCACAAAAATTTTGCAAAACATATTAATTCTGTAGAATGTCACGATGCCAATTTATCATATAGAGCTATTGGTTACTTATCAGTTTTATTTATCGTTCCGAAATCGATTGTTTAATTATATTAATATGTGACTCTTGCCACTTTTTGTAAACATCTTCATGCTATTATTCTCGCGTAAATTAATTCTTTAGAAATTTAAATTGAGTTTCTGGTTTTAACACTGGTCTTGCATTTAATCTAAAATTGATCGATTAATAATAATTTATCTAATTTGACATCTCTATTTTGCTGAACAGAAATCATTGTATTAGCATCATAATCACCGATTCCCAGAATATTATTTGCAAACTTTTGAGCTTGGCATATAAATCATATTTTGATTATTTTTTTTACTTTATAAAAAAGATTTACATATAACAATGTTTTATCATCCAATCTTTATCAATTTTCTGATCTTTCGATCGTATTATCTTCATCAAAAATAATTTGCTAAATGAATAAATATTATCTAAATAGTGAATCGAGTGAAAAAAGCTAACAAATGAAAAGCAGTTAGTAGTCATAACTTTTAAATTTTCTTTACTGTGTAATTATGAATTATTGCTTCATAATTTTTATTTATATATGTAAGTCGCTCATGGCTTCCTCGAAATTTTCGATCAAGGGAGAGATCAACAACTATTATCAACTTCTTCATTTTCGGACACGCCTCTATATCTGGTTGCCGGGTAGCAAAGGAAAAGGGACAAAATATCAAAGACTGCTTTGTTACGATATACAACACATACGCGACATTTCTTGCAACGACGCATTCACAGATAACACTGTAATATTCTATATTTCCTTTCTTCGTAAAAAAATTTTGTTTTTTTTTTCATATTTTTTTAAAGTTATAAAATTTTATTTAATTACATATTTTAATTTAAAAATCTCTTTTATCGCCGATATAAAAATTTGTTTTTATTATTTCCACGAATTTATACGAATTTTTGAAGTTACTACTTTGTTGCAAATGAATTCCGTGAAGTGAGGACGTTCGTGTATCCAGCGTTAAAATCTTGTCCGACCGTCCCTTCCGATTCGTGAGAATTTTTCTCTCCGTGCTACAAAGTGCCGGGTAAACGCTACCCACAAGAATAGTTGTGTGTGTATGGTCGTTATGGAACACAGACAAGTAGTTTTCTTCATAAGGATCGGTGAACCCTTCACATTGCGGGAGATACAAAGTTGCTCAGGCCATCTGCTACATTGTGGCAGGTCAGGCCACTAGGGGCCCTGCCGTTCAGTTCGTTCCTACATTTCTTCATTAAGTTGCTACGGACGCAACTATGATGCTGATATCGGTCTACAGCCATTAATAAAAGTAGCTTTTACGAAATAACGAATACTCAACATAATATTTCACGACAGTCTGACAAGATTGGTCATTTTCTGTTGAATAATAGTCTTCTATTGAACAGAAATACTCTTTTTAATAATATTCTTTACACAAAGTTGCATTAAATTTGTAATAAAGTAAAATTTGAATGGAAAACAGGAGATATGATAAAGCCAATATTTTAAAGCTAAAAATAAATTTATCGTATAATTATTATAAATATTTTATAAATTAAATTGAAAATTATATATTAAACATAGTATACGCTTCTTTATGAAAAATAAATATATTGAACCAGTTGTGAACAAGAGATAAATAGATTCGTGAAGAGAAATATTTTTAGTATATCACATTGTTGCATCAACCGGATGTTCGCTATATGAAATCCCTTCGGAAATCGTACGTTATCGTCTTATAGGAATGATATTGATATCTCAAAGCAAGAGCCATCAGTAATATTTAATTTTAAAAGAGTTCGTTTCTTCTGCACATATTTTTTTAGTTTTGCTTCTAAGCGAAATGATCGTTTATTATTAAATAATATTAATTATTTATACTAATTTCCATATTATTATTCTTAACAATTACAATCTTCTATAACCGTAATAAATCAGTCTAAAATATAATATACAATCAATAAAACATAAATATTAATATACAAAAGAAAGAAATATTGTGGGATTTTGAAAAATTTCTCCTCTGTATACCTGTTTCATAGAATTATGAAAAATTAGAAAAGTGCGTTATTGAAGGCAGGATGCTACAACTTCCTGTCATTTTATGCATTTGGTCGACCATTCATCTGAAATTTAAAATATTGGTAGGGTTACATTAATATTAAAAAGATGCCACTATGTGTAGCTTTTCTAAAGGTAGTTGTGTTAGTAATCGTTCTCGGAAAAGCCAAATGGTTTAGAGCTTGTGTCAGACCAGTTTTCTACATTGTGTGCTTAGGATCCCAACCGAATCCCAACATTCCCAGCAACCCAACTGCGTTTAGATATGACAAAGGAAAAGCGATGGAAAAATTTTCTTTGTATATTTTGAATGTAATTTTGTTTGGAAATTTGAAATGGATCAGAAATTTTTTTATTTTAATTAAAATTATTTTATTAAGAAACACACACAATAACTAACATCTTTATGTTATTTAACATATCTTTATTCTTCAAGTTAATTTTTTTAAGATTACATCTGGAGACACGGCAGTGTCTCAACGCTAAGAACAAGCTAAACTAAGCGAAGCGTCATGGCGCGAGACAATGGCTCGTATTCAAAACGCGCTTTTATCTCTGAAATTCTATAATATGCGTGACGTAAAATATAGTATGTTAGCGCTAACATTGTTGTAAGCGCGTTCTGAATACGGATCACTGCCTAACGCATACATCCATATGCTATTAAATTAGATACAAAATTTATCGCGTCCAAAATAGTCAAATTCAAACATCAACACTAATTAGATGCGTTATTCTAATAAGTAAAATAATTTATTTTTTAATATAAAGATGTGTTATCACAAATTACTACAAATATGAAAGAAGCCATTGTTATGGTATAATTATACAACAAACAGCGTATTTTATTAAACAAACGGAAAGTTGCGTTTCCTTTGTAATTATTTTTGTCGTTAAAAATTTGTTTTCATCACATTCATATGCACACACACCTCTCAACTGTCACATTGTTGCCCTAATTTTGTATTGCATATTTCTCCAGTTGCGAATGAGAGTAAGAGCAAAGAATAACTTCTCATCTTTTATGTATACATATATGTATATTCGATTAATATTTTGATACATATTGAACACAACATTTGAAGAAAATGTTTCATTTTTTTAATAAATTATAAAAAAACACGTTTATGTTATTTATAATAGACAACTCGACATTCATCTCAAGTATGCATTGTGCGTATTTTGTTATGCGTCTATTTATTAGCGATGCACAGTGAAAAAATCATCGCAGAATAAGAAGAATGTATAGCGAACGAGAATGACAATGCCCTTTCTCTCTTTAGCAATGTTCTTATCTCATTTCACAATGAAAATTTATAAATTGCAATGTTTACATTTATTACTGAATTCTAGTGAACTTTATATTAAATCATGTATAAATCGGATGATGAATTTATATTAATGCTTATCTGTTAATCTCTTTTATCTATATTCCTTATTAATTCTTATTGCTGTTTTTATTTCATCAACGTTACAAGTTGAAACGCACTTCGATGAGTCGAAAGGAGCAAGAAACGCATGCTCGCGATTCTTTCGTCGTCTACTTTCATGCAACTCTCCGGTATGGAAGTTACGCGATAGTTCTTATCAAAGTTCTGAGAAAATATCGGCTGCCACCGGACAATTCGTGCTCTCAGCTTCGTCAACTTTATACAGTGATCATACTTTGTACACTGTATCTGCGTTTTATCACGCGTATATATCTCTCTCAGTAATAATAACAATAATCATAAATTATAACAATAAAATTTGCAATTCTTTTTGCGATTTTTTTAAGAGAATAAGATATGAGAATTTAAGAGACTGAAATACACATATATCAAAGTCAGTATTTTTTCTGGTATTTTTTGATAAAATGGTATTAAATTTTTAAAGTAATTTCAAAGTAAATTTGATGAGATTCTTACTATTCCTTTTCACTATATTTATAGAGGAAGATTTTAAAGAATCTATTATTAATATTAAAAAAATTACTTATATATTCTTATAAATTTACTTATATTCTCTAATAAATTTACAAAACATTTACAAAATATTAATGATTGCTAGAACACATGATAAATGAAGAATTAGAAGATAAACTTCTTTTTGCAGAGTTTTATTTTTTTCTTGTTTTCCAATATCGGGTTTTCCAATATTGTTTTCTTATATCGGGTTCCAATCTTTACGTCTCATTTCTTCCCAAAAGACGTTACGCATGTAACTTAACTCTCTTAATCCGTGTATTAGGATTGTGTCGCATCACCTTCACCTCCCGTCAATGCAATTTAAGTCACGAGCAGGGGGAGGAGGTCGACACAACTAATCTTATTAATTATTTATCAATAGGTGGGAAAGCGTCGTCTTATTACTTGTAAGCGTAGCTTATGTTATGTAAGTCGATGTGTTTCTAATATGAACGTTAACAGAAGATTAGTCGGAAATCTTCAAAGAATCCTAATTTTATAGATCATAGCTTTTACATCATTTTAAATCGAATGGTTGTTGTTTAAGACTTTTAATTTTATATAAAAATTTAAATTAGCTTTATACAGAAAAATTAAAAAAATATTTAAGAATATATTAAGCGATCACATTAATTCACAAGAAAAACACTCGTTTCACTACTTGTTATTAAGTAATCAATTATAATAAAAGAATCTATGTCATTCGTTCTAACTATTGTTCCGACATTAATAATAACTTTCTCTTTCTCTCTTTCAGGCTAGTCGTACGCTTGCTAGTGGTGAATACCTGTTGTCCTGTCCGAGGTGTAGCTTTCCTTGTCATGTGGACAGCGAGAAGAACGTGGGTGCCTGTTCGAGGCAGGGTTGCTCCATCGAATTTTGCATTTCATGCTCGTCAAAATCGCACGCAGGCCCGTGTAAGACGCCCTTACTGGCCACCCCGACGAAACGCAACAATAAACGCCTCATCGCCGGTTCGAGACAGAGCAAACGGAATTTGCGTCGATTGTAAATCAATTCCTTTTCCTCGAGAAAAGAAGAACTAGTCTAGTTACAGAGTTGCGTCGACACTCTATCGATTGGAAGAGCAAACGTACACTGAGAAAAAAAAGTTGTTAACTTAACTAAATGCGTTTAGTTCGTAATGATTATTTAGTTCAAATATTTATATATTTAGATTAATAAAATCTTGTAATTTAAAATATATTATTTGTTTGAATTAACAAATATTTGGTCGAATTAACAAATATTTGCTTGACAGCCCGTGACCGCTACATTTAGTTGAATTAACTAATATTTTTTTGAAACAGTAACTTTTTTTCTCAGTGTATATTACAGACAAAATGTGTATACTATAGACGTGAGTCTATAGTACACTAAGACGAGAGTCAAGAGCGATTTTATAGTCTAATTTGAAAGATAAATTAATATTCTAATGATTAATTTTCCCGGTTAGTTTATGGCGAACGTTTAGAGCGGAACGGATGCGACGTGCTTGTTGCGTATAGAAATGAATTCGATTGCACATCGCAGCGATACGACACATCTTCATAGTTCGAAAAACGCCTTAAGGGTGTTTTGGTATAGGCGATATGCCTACGAAGTGGCATAAGCGTATTTAACTGCCGTAAATGCTGCTCGTGAATAATTTTTAAACGTCATAAAATCCACAGACACCCTAATTCGCCCCGTTCCGTCGACACCACGAAGGGGCTGATGCCGAAGTATGACTTAAATCTCCCGGACGACGTCGGCGGATACGTAATCGAATCCTTCTCCAGTCCTCCTCCTCGTCGATCCTCAGAGTAAATTCCGCCCTAAGCGATGCAACTCGGCAGCGGACGAAAGTACGAGCGAGAAGGGGAGAGAACGAGAGGCTAGTCAAAGGGGGAGAGTATCCTGGGGCACTGAAAGAAAAGAAAAGAATGCGAAAGCGGGAAGGGAGAAATGAGAAGCCATAAAGGCAACGATCGTAAAACCACGTAAGGTACCGGTGAAACACTTTGCGTCGCCCGGATATTCCGCTTTTTACCGGGTACTCTCAGCCCCCTAATGAAGACGGGGAGAGAGTTGGCCAGGGGCCCGTATGTGTTTCTTGTGGCTGGGGACGCTCTTTCTCCCTCCCTCTTTCTCTCACGGGAATCATAAAACACGGTAACCGTCGGAACGGTCGCGAATTCTGATGTCCATCGAGATGCGAGCAAGACGAATTCTCATTCGTCTAATGGCTTGGTTCGGCTTACTATCTTCTTGTATAAACATTAGAAACATACTGAGTTTCTATTTTTTCTGGCGAATGTTTTGTTTCTTCTTCAACCTTGCGCAACAAGACACGAACAGTTTAAGTAATCTTTTATTCTTAACAGAATATTTAATACTGAATTCGCAAAAAGAGAGAAGGGTGAGAATGGAACGGATTATGATTAAATCTAGTAATTATCTCGAGATATGACTTAAATTCTTTGTCATACATACGATATTCGATACATGATATTCAACGATAACAAATGAGAAAGATTTAGGATGGGAAAACAGATGTGTGCCATAAAATTTCCAATTTGCAGCATGTAATTTTCTCTTTTGTATGTTGAGTAGACATTGTTAAAATTACTTAAAATTTTATGAGTTTACGTTCTCTTTTCTCTTCGACGCGAATCTGTATAAATACTGTACTCTCTCGCTTAATTCGCTCAATAAGTATTATCGAAATTGCATAGATGGATGCAAGCATGCAAGAAATAATGAGTGCCAGAATAGGAAGCGAGAAAAAATGAATGGATGGTCATACAATTGGCAAGAAAATTATTATCCCGCAATAATATGAGCAATTTTAATAATCCCGCGTTTTATGTTATTTAATGGATTAATAAAGAAAAGAAAGGATTTTACGCGAGAGCGAGGAACTTGAAAAAAAAAAATATTCTCTTTGCTTCACATTTCCTGATGTTAGAGGTCGGTACAAAGAATTTTGCACTTGTGCCATGATTCACGCCATAATAATTGCCATATTTTAAACACGGACATAATTACGAGGGAGAAAGAACGAGCATGCATTTCAGCATCTTCCTCAAATAAAATTCTCGATGGGGTGCCATATTATATCGTTTCGTTTTCTGTTTTTTCGTTCGTACATTTTTTAATTCAAGTCTATCTAACATTTTCATATCTTAAAAGTAGCGTTAGTTTCCATGTTTATACTCTTGTTTTTATACTGGTATATGCGAAAAAAAGACTGCATGTAAATAGCGGAGCGTGATAGTAATATATTTTATAATTCGTGTAAGCGCAAGGTAAAGTCTCGTGATCGATATTTTATTTGCGCTATATTTTTGTTAAAACGAATAAAAATACGTTTATTATATCAGTGATGCGCAACTCACATGCCAGCTCACCTGTGGATTTTTGTGGCCTGCCTATTCATTACTGAAAATATAAAATTATATTTTCTATTTTGTACAAACGAATTAAATATTATACGACCCGCAAGATTTTACCCTATTTCTAAAAATGATCCTTAAAAAAGGTTGCGCATCGCTGTATTATATAATTAATGCTTCTCTTCACAGATTACTGTATAGTCTTTACAAAAAAGATTTTGCCGATGATTTTTAATTATCGTAGTGAAATTTTTTGTATAACATTGGCAAAGGAAACAAATTTTATCATACTTTTTGCATTTAAATTTTTGTACAAATTATTGCTCTCTTATGCTCTCTCTCTAAAAAAGGAAATAGATGTAGAAGTTATTCGTTACCACGATATCCACAAGATAATTCAAGTGAAAAAGTTTTAATAATAATATCTCGATTTTTTATGCACACAGGTACTCATTAGAATTTTTTAAATTACTTGTCGGATATTTTTTAAGTTTTTTATTAATTATCTAAATCAAAAGTGTTATTTGATATTTTAATTGGAAGACTCGAATACAATTATTTTACATAATTTCAAATTGAACTGATATATAATATCTGAATCTATATCAATTTACTAGCCCGCCTGCATCACTAAGTTATAATAATTTTATAAAAGAAAACACATTTTTCTTTTGATACAATTATACTTTGCATAGATTTAGCACAAGTAAGACCTGAGTAATTAGTTTCAATGCCCCGATATAAGCAATATATTCAGTTAACGATCCATGGGCTTTAATACTCAGGAAATATTTTGGTAGGAAAATCTGATATACATTCTTTAATCTAAGTTATATATTTAAAAAAATCTTTAGCTATATACACACACACACACACTCACACATGAGAAATTGATACCAAATAAAGTGCCTCCATAAGGTAATAAGAAAAATATTTGATATTTTTATAAAAGCGAACATATTTTCGTGTTTAGTATATAAGTTTTGTAATACATTTGCTCGAAGATATGCTTCAACAAAATGCGAGAATGCTCAATACTCTTCTCATATTATATATTATTATTATATTTTGTAGTTGGAGAATTTCGAATTCATACGTTAAAAACGATTTCAGAAATGCGTCTAGAAGTGCCGAAGAATTATTGTAGCAAATGTATATTAAGCTAATTGAATGTTGTAAGCCCTTTCAGGGTAGGTTCCTGTATTGTCAAATAAATATAGTATTTTTTCGCGTATCTTGTGTTCTTTATCCAAAACTAAATGACTTATACTAACTAAAAGTTACTAATATAAACTCTTTTAGAGATTTTACTTCTGAAAATAAATACATTTTGAGATATTCATTCCATTGCAAATATAAAATTACAACTTATAGCGTTATATGTGTAGTGTATTTACATACTCATGAGAATAGATTGAAATGGATTCAGATTTTCAGAAATATGGATTCACGAATGTTAAAATAAATGCTTTTCAATCCTGAATGCATTTTTATTCATTTATAGAAATTACATGGAGCTATCTCTATGCCTTTCAATCCAAAAATAATATCAGCTTTTTCTGTGCATCGTGAATACTGTTCAATTTAAAATTTTGAATAGGAAATGCAGTTTTTTAATCCAATTGCATCCAATTGAATCTAATTGAATCCAATTGAATAAAAAAAACGTTTCCGCTATTTAAAATACGCATTCGGATAAATAAAATTTCAATCCATTTTAATCCATTCTCGTTTACTGGGTAATATCAATTACAGAATCTTATATAAATTATATATCTAAATAAAAAATTTCCATAATATTCTAAGAATCACAGCTAATAAGAGCATCGTAAATGTCACGATTCCATATTTCGATGGCTTTTCGTACGATAATCTGGAAACAACGCCTTGCGGTAGAGAAGACCTCAGTGCCGGAGACACACCTTTACCAATCGGTTCTCCCTTCATAGAGAACTTCGTCGCTTCTATAATCCTTACGTCAATCATTTTTCCCATGTACTCCTGCTTCAGCGGAATCAACACCTGTTCGTAGAATTTGTTATGGCCCACGTAATGCTGCTTATCATGCGATGTCTCCGTTACTAGCACCTTCTGTATCAGTCCCACTTTGTGTCCATATAGTTCGTACGATTGGAAAAATTCCGACAACCTCTTAGTTCTAGTTTTCACCTTCTGTGCAGGTATTTTCGGCATCCTGGCGGCGGGCGTGCCGGGTCGAGAGAAGAACTGATTGATGAAGAGGCTTGGGAACTTGTACTTTTGACAGAGTGTCATCGTCTCCTCGAAATCCATCTCCGTTTCCGTGGGAAAACCGCAAATAACGTCTGTGGCGATAGTCAAACCAGGCACCCGCTCACTCAGAAAGTTTACTACGTGCTCGAATTCAGCACGTGTATACTCCCGCTTCATGTCAGCTAGTACCTGGTCACTGCCAGACTGTACCGGGATATGTAGGAAGCTATAGACTTTAGGATGCCGCAGGATCTTGGCCATTTCGTCCAGATGTTCCAAGATATATGGTGGATTGGTCATACCGACGCGCATCATGCAACCATCTGGAATCACGTCTACCAATTGCCATAGTAGTTTTGGCAAGCTAGTGCCAATGTCTCTACCATAGGCGCCTGTATCTTCCGATGTGAGCCACAACTCGCATACACCCTCCTCGAAAGCTTGCTTGGCTCGTTCGACTATCTTTTCTGGAGGATAACTACCCAGTTCACCTCGTGCATGTTTTGTCTTGCAGTAGGTGCATTGATTCAAGCAGCCTGTGTTAATGGCTATAATCTCGATAAGTGGATTTCGGCGTACCTTTGGAAGATTCAGTGAAGCTCCGCCTGTCTTCTTACCAAGATCCTTCTTCTGCTGTAAGAATCTGACTGTATTTCCTTTCAAAGTTTCTTCCACAACTTCTACCACTCGATCAATTTGTTGTACTCCAATCACACTTAACCCTTGAAGGAAGGAAGATTTTGGAGCACCTTGTGATACACATCTATAAGATACAAATAAAATGATTATTTAGAATCTTAAGACAGCTCTAAATGATTTTTAAAATTAGAAAGTTTACTGTACTGCTAAAATTCTATACTAATGTTCAATTAAATACAAGTATCAAATAACGATTTGCAAATAATGATATTATATTATAATTCATTATCAAATCCTTGTTCCATCATTGCAGTTGCATAATTACATACCCAGCAACTACAACGTGCTTGCCAATTTTCTTTCCATACTCTATTTCATTCCTGAATTGATCTTCTGCAGGACTCTTCACAGTGCAAGAGTTCAGAAGCCACAGATCCGCTTTCAGTTTATCCTCGGTTAAATTATAACCGTACGACGCCAATTGACCGGCCATATATTCGGTGTCCGAACTGTTGTGCGTGCATCCCCATGTTTTCACATAAATCGTTTGCGTGCCAGGTATTATGCTCGACAAAATAGACGGCTGCGATACTTCCTCTTGCAGCTGCTTCCTTCGCTTTGGTCGTATCGTGATATGTTTCCGCGAACTATATCTCTCCTTGGGCGTTATATCCTGGGACGCAATTAAATCCTCGATGTCCTCGATAATTTCCTCGCATGGAGCAGGCATGTTTATTAAAGACAAAAATGATTTCTAAGAAATTGTCCACTGTACTCGTAAAACGTGTCACCTTAACAATTTGAGGTTAAGTGCACGTTGGTGTACGTGTTATTGAATTAATACAGCCAATATAAATTGTCATTGAAATTCTCGAAAAATTGTAACAAATAGTAAGAATCTCATGTTATTAATTGTTCAGCTATTGTTTATATCTATTTTAAGTGTAAATACACAGGTTTTTAACAATAGAATTAAAATAGGTTAGGATTAGGTTATATGAAGTCAACTCTCTAATTTTATTACATAAGGTGCCATCTAGAGATATTTTCGTTCATTAAATATCTAAAGAAAAGAGATTTTATCGTTAATTGATAAAATATATTTTAAAAAGTGTATATTGATTGACTCTCTTCCCTAAGAATTTTTTGAAAATGATTTTTAAAAATTTTGAACAGCTAGTAGCCGATATCGACATACTATTTTGTTTATAGATAATATTTCTTAAACAAAAGGTAAAAATAAAACTTTAAAAACGTAAGTAACTGAAAAGTGTCTTCTATCAGATAGTATAAGCAGTTTTTATAATACTGTTTGCAATTTTGCAATAATTAATTTTTTCGTAAGGTAAGCAAAAATGAGCTTCAAAACTGACACAGTAGGTAGTAAGGCTACGCGTATTCATATTTTTTTTATTTTACAAGCATTATCTGTACAAAGTACCTACAAGTGAATGTATATAAGATTTTCCAGAATCTTTTCACTTCGTTATAAAACATTTTTATCGAATTATATGCATATTTATTTTATGCTGTTCTGCAAGATACAAATATATAATGCGATAGTTTTTCAAGAGTTTTTCCATATATGCACGATTGCCTTCAGCTCCAATAGATTTATTTGACACTATAAATTATAAAGATTAAGTTAGCTCATAGACTGTTTTACAGATAGGTGTGGCGGTTTACGCTGCACCCTAATTTTAAATTTAAAATCGTATTATGAAAAGAGACTAAGAGAAGAAATAATATAAATAGAACTGATTTAAAAATAATTTATTATTTAAAAACATTATTTATAACATATTAATGTATACATTTACATGTATATTGATTACATATTTTTATTTAACAAAATGACGAACGTATTATATTTCTATATGTAATCTATCGATGAATAATGATAAATAAATTTCGATATTATGTTTATTAAGTATATACGAAATTTTGAGTTTTCCATGCTTTTGTTATTGTTATCAACGGAATTATCTGTACATATATCTTCGAAAATAATCGATTTATATTTTAGAATATCACTTTTTAACATTTATCAGAATTTATTATTAAACATAATTCTGAATTTATTCATTTTAATACTTTTAATACAAATAGTACGATGCTTAAAATAATAATTTTTATTTAAATTAATTACTTTCAACGATTTCTGTTTACAATAAACTAAAAGTGACAATAATTATTTATATAAGTAACGATACTGTGTATCGTACTAAGCTATGTTCCAAAATTCACTCCCAGTGCTGAAAATCTATAGTACACGTAACTTAAACTAAAGATTTTTGGCACTGACGGTAAATTTTGGTACACTGCCGTATAATTATTATTTATAGAAGATATTAAAATAGTGGTATAAAGTATAGATGCAAAAATGCATACGTTAATAACAAATGACTAAACAGACATTTAACGATCTATTTAGAAAATAATAAAAGATACATCATCTACATATATAAAGAATTATATATATAAAATACAGAAACAATTTTTATTTAAAATATGTAGCATTATATGTGGTAGTAAATGTTCAAAGGATAAATTATATCATTTGATAATTCATCGTCTTTATTGAAGTTCTGTTTCTAAACACTCTTTTTTAAACATTCTTTGTGGAGAGTGTGATAAAATATTGATCAATGAAAGACAATCGAAAAAATGTTTTTTTTTTTTAATAATGTACAATTCTTTGTATTTAAAGAAGTAAAGAATTATATTACTGATTTTCATCTAAATATTTTGATCAATCATTGAATACATTTAAAGACTTCGCAAAGGCTGTATTTTGAACGCGAACAAGTTATATTATCAACATATATGTTGTTGTTGTGAATGTCTTATTTTAAATGATACATCTGTTACTGATTTTAATCCAATTGCTGGAAATTGATATCGATTTTTTAGAAGACGATATCAGTAGATTCTTTTTATCGTATTTTATTCTATCTTTGCATTACTATTTATTATATGGCTAGCTCTTACTTTTCACCTAAACATTTCTGATATTACGGATTATGTGAATATTTGCCTTAAGCAGGTTTGATCATAATTATTTTAATATAATAAATATCTTTAACTTGTATTTATTGGATAATTTCTCTGACACGGTCACTTTTTACTTACAATTACATCATAATATTCAACGAGTTATTTTTCAAGTAATGTTAGATATTTATATTATATTGTTAATAACATATGCGTTTATAATGATTACAGTGAATAAAACTGCAGACACGTCAATGTCTCTTAATCAACAAAAAAGTATTCTAAATTATTTAGAATTTAAGAATTTATCTGACAATAACAGATTTCAACAATTACATTTTTTTGTGAAAATGATATATTGCAATATGATAAGAAAGTAGATTTATTACGATAATTATTAAAAATCTTTTTGTACAGAGACATTATGTGGAAGTTAACAGTGTTATCTACGATTGTAATCATAATTACTGCTCAGAAGGCAACATACAATAATTATAAGGTCTTTAGGATCACTCCAACCACGCAAAAACATATCATATTACTTCGCGAATTAACAAAATTTCATGATAGAGTGAGTAAACTTTTAGATATAAATATTATATTATTAACATGAGCACTAAAGAGTTATAGAGACATTTTATCTTCAGAAAAATCAGTGTTATATAAATTCATTGTTATAATTTTAAAAATTAGTTTTGTAAACTTCAAATAATTGATCCAACATTCGTAAATTCAATTTTACATATATATATAATAAATTAGATTTTTATTATATATAATTATATAAAATTAGGTTTACGAATTCTTATTCATTAAAATTAATTACGCAATTAAATCTCAATTATAGTTTATATTTTGGGAAGCACCAGTCTTGGTAAACGTGACATTAAATCTTATGATAGTTCCAAACTATCTGCCGCAATTTTACGAAGTGATAACTCAAATCGGTGTACTCTATTATATTAACATTGAGAATGTCCAATCGCTAATTGACCAAACAATGCCTCATTATCAATCAACGTTTGATTTTAAGAGCTATCACAGTCTTGAAATAATCTACAATAACATGGATGACTTGGCCAAACGGTATCCTAACAAAGTGAAAATTATTGTGGGTGGCAAAACGTACGAGAAACGTCAGATCAAAGAGGTGTCCATATTTCTTTTAAGGCCAACAATCCCGGAATCTTCCTTGAGGGTGGCATTCACGCCAAGGAATGGATATCGCCAGCGACTGTCATGTATATTCTACATCAGTTGCTGACCAGCAATAACTCGGACGTCAGAAATCTGGCTGATAGCCACGATTGGTACATATTCCCTTTGTTCAATCCCGATGGATATGTATACACGCACAAGACGGTAAATCTTATTTTCTAGCATTACATAGAATCATGTACTAATTTATACGAATTAAGTTAATGACTGTATATATATAAAATAAATAGTGATTCAAGATTGAATTATTTTAAGCATTAAAGATCTAGCTTCGACCGTTTAGGCTACTTAGGTATTAGTTGATTGTGTTCTTACATATGTGATCTAAAATAAAGATTATTGTTCATAAAATAAATGTTATATGCTTCCAGGATCGCTTATGGAGAAAGAATCGTAAATCGCAAAATCTTTTTTGCGTTGGTACAGATCTCAATAGGAATTGGAACTACGAATGGAATGGTAAGTGCTCATATGTTCTGTGAACACAGCTCCTTGGTAATCACTAATGCTATAAATCGACACTTTTTCAGCTACTGGTATCAGAAAAAATCCGTGCTTCAATTCTTATCCTGGAAGTAAACCTTTCGCTGAAGTAGAAACAAAGAGCATGTCGGAGTATATTCAATCTATTTCGAATAAATTTTATGCGTACATCTCATTTCATAGTTTTAAGCAACTTTTAATGTTCCCTTATGGCCACACAAAAGCCCACCTCGACAATCATGACGAATTGATATTTATTCATTGAAAATAACTTTGTTAATTTAATAACACAATTAATAAAACAAATACTTATGCTCTTGTTTTAATGCAACTTTATTTGTTTCATTAATATTGTTGTCAAACCAATCATTTATTTTCAATTAAAATAATGCTGTTGAAACAACATCATTTTTTTAAGTGTAGCAATATTTCTATTGAGAGAGAAAATGGTCATCTTAAGATTAATTAGTGTACAAGTAAATATGTACACAGATGGCTAATACAAGTGTCGATATAAAAGACTTGTAAAAGACGCACACATAAATGTATGTTTAATATACAGGATGAAGCAAAAGTACTTGAACTTTTTAGGAAAGTTTTAGTGTAAAAATAAGAAGAACAACCCCTCAAAAGGCCATAATTTTGACAAATGTTATCAAGGTCATAATCCTGAACAACATTTAAAAGATTTTACCTGTCATTTGGACACCATAGATAATGTTAATGCTGGCGACACTGTAACTTTTAAGCTTTATAACTCAAAAAGTAGTTGATGGAAAAATGTTTTATTATAGTATTTATTTTAAACAGCTCTCAATATAAACTACAAGAATATGCAATAAAAAATGATGATTTCTATTTTGAAAAATCGATTTGACCTTGACCTAACTATGGCGACGCCATTAAGGTTAAACTGATAAGATCAGTAAAAAAATCTTAAATCCTATAACTTTTGTGTCTGAAATATTTTTCTGTAAAACTTATACTTTCCAAGATATTTAGAGGTTCTGGTATTTTTGACTCACCCTGTATAAAATTCTACGTCAAACCCCAATAATGTAAATTAGTGCGATAATGTGAGTTTGGTGCCGTGTGCAACTACGTATTTAAATTAATGAGCTTCATAATATCGGTAACTTCATAATATCAGCTAGTGCTCTGTTTTATAGAAAAGTAAGTTCTCTTCTTTAGATATAGATTGTTCATATATTACAAGAATTACATGTTTTGTTGCTTAAATCACAATTGAAACTTGCTTGTAAGTGAATTTAAGTTGCATTGTGTCTATATATAATGAAATAATATTTATATAAAGTAATATCTATATATTAATTTAATATTAATTTAATTTATAATTATATAAAATAATATAAAATAGATTTCTATTATAATTGTGACCCTAAAATATTAACTGAAATTGATATTCGCGCATTAAAAAAGGTAACTGATTATCATGTGGAAGTTATTAATATTTTGTACGATCGTGGGCCTTGTGGCTGCAGAGCAGGCTACTTTTAACAATTATAAGGTCTTCAAAATTAATGCTACACTGAAACAGGCGAAGCTGCTTGACCAGTTGACAAAAATTCATGATGGAGTAAGTAGATTTTTCAAGCAGAAAGACAAGTAAAATTAATATACTTTGCATAATATCATCGAAAAAAAATTCTGGTTGAAAATGGACGACCCAGAAGATTTTGTTCATATCACCATTTGAATTTTGCTTATTTCAAGAATTATTCTGGGTTATTTTCAACCAGAATTCCAATTAACATAATCAGACCTTTTCTAATAATTTCCAAAAATTTATCTTTTTTAAAAAATTTGTTATACTTGACCATATTAGCTAAAATTAAAAAAAAATAAACCTCACATAAATAGTATAATATACACAAATTTATAAAATTTATAAAATTAGCTTTATCTCTATAAATTTATTAAATTATTTATTATATTATGTAATACTTCAAAAAGTTATAAAAACTGACAAATTTGTAAGTAATTTTTTAAACTAAAATTATTATTGCTATTAAATAAATAGTATTAAACATCATTTACAGTTTTCCTACTGGATTGCACCGTTTGCGAATAAACAAGCGGAACTTATGGTAGCCCCGCACAAGCTGCCCGAGTTCCATGAAATGATGAAGCAGATGCAAGTACCCTATACAGCTTTTATTGAGAATGTTCAAGCATTAATCAATCAGGCAGCTCCCGCGAATGCATCATCGAAGTTTGATTTGAAAAACTATCACCCATTAGACGTAATTTACCAGAATCTAGATGATTTGGCAAAGCAGTACCCCAAAAATGTGCAAACTATCGTGGGCGGCGAGACATATGAGGGACGTCAAATCAAAGGCGTCAAGGTTTCCTTTAAAGCCAATAATCCTGGAGTCTTTATCGAGGGTGGTATTCATGCCAGAGAATGGATCTCGACAGCAACTGTCATGTACATCTTGCATGAATTGTTGACAAGCAGTAATCAAGAGATCAGAGCTCTGGCTGAGAGCCACGATTGGTATATCTTCCCATCGTTCAATCCCGACGGATATGTGTACACGCACACCACAGTAAGTTACATTTTATTATATTACATAAAGCATTCTTTACTAATTATAAATTAATTATACTATTTTTAATTTACTTTAGAATCGTTTATGGAGAAAAACACGTAAACCGTATAGTTTACTCTGTTATGGCAGCGATCCCAACAGAAACTGGGGTTACAAATGGAATAGTAAGAATTTGTATTATGTCAGAAAATTCTTCCATGTAATAGTAAAAAATTAAATATTATCTAATAAAAAGTTGAAATTAATTTATAGACTTCGGAGATTAGCTCGATGATTTTTAGTATTATTTATAAACATATATTTATGTGTAATTTGATATTTTCAGCTGGAGGCTCTAGCAATAATCCATGTTCCGAAACCTACGCTGGAAATGCAGCATTCTCCGAAATTGAGACAAAGAGCTTGTCCCAATATTTCGATTCTGTTTCCAACAAAGTCTACGCATATGTCGCATTCCATAGTTACTCGCAACTATTGTTGTTCCCTTATGGTCACACAACAGATCACCTTGATAACTATAACGACATGGTAAGTATTATAATTTTAATTATGGAGTATTCAGATGTAAACTATAATTCAATAGTTAGTAAAAAAATAAAAGAAACCAATGTTGTCGGATATTGATATATTTAAATGGAATAAAATTTCTAAAGAAATTCGATAAAAATTTATTTCTAGTGGAGAGATTGCAAGTATTTGAGAATGGGTTAACCTACAGCCCAAAGTTTTTTTTCTTGAGAAATATAAAAAAGCTGTTGGAACTCCAGTGTATTGAAAATCAGACAGATTTGTTAAAAACTAATATGACTTAAATTACTGTGTTTCTTTTATTTTTTGTATAATTATTGAATTATAATTTTAATTTAAGCTCTCTCTCCAAGTAAAATAAATATAATTTTGAAAATCATAATAAAATTCAGTAGAAAAATTAATAGAAAAATTTATATTAAAATAATTATATATCATAGAGAACAGTATTAAACTGGTAAAACAATCAGTTTCTCTGCAATTATCATTACTATATTTACTAGTGAGGCAGTATTAACTGAATTATGAATAAATGTAAATAATTGTATATACAATATATATAATAATTATCATCTTTGCAATTGGTCGATAGCTCAGTGTCGTCAGGTGAATTTCGAAGTTATAGTCCATCGAGGCATAGTACCGTATAAGAATATCAGTTTTATCGACACGTACATTATTTATTATTATTACATAAATTGTTTTAGATAAAAACGTAATTATTTATAAGAAGTATTTAAAACATCATGCATTATTCCAAAAAATTTCAATAATTATTTGTAGAAATAATAGAATATAACAAAATTTATATGATTTCTACGATTTTCAGTATGGTATTGGTGTGAAAACGATTAAAGCACTTGCAAAGAAATATGGAACTCAATATACGGTCGGAAATGTTGCAGAGACAATATGTACGTAAAAAAATTTCGTTAATTTTGTTTTCCCTCTCTCTTTCTCATCCTCTATCTATCTATCCATCTATATCCATCTACATACCTATCAATCTGTTTTGTTATACTTAAATACGTTTTAGTTTTCTCGAACGGTTTATTGTTAACGATTTTTTCATTCTATTATACTTAAAACATTGTAAAATTGATATAATTATTGCAATCTTAGATTAAGATAATTGTATATAAAAATATGGTTCTTTAAGCTTACTCTTTTTGTAAAATTTTTTTCAGATGTGGCATCCGGAGGTTCTATGGATTGGGTCAAAGGCACTTATGGTACACCTATCACCTTCACTTATGAGTTACGTGATACAGGTCGTTACGGTTTTTTGTTACCACCTAATCAAATTATTCCGACTGGACAAGAAACTATGGATTCTCTTCTAGCCATGTTTAAAGAAGCAAAAGCACGTGGATATCCCAGAAAAATTAAAAATGTCAAAGCTAACTAAATTTCATATAAATATTATTATTGATTGCATATTTTTATATTTGACGATTTGCTAATTTTTTTTCAATATCTGTAATCTATAATACAATACCTTGGTACTTTGTTTTTAATCATACATGCAGATGTTTTGAATTAAAAATTAATGATTTGTAATTTAATCAGTTAAATTATTATTGAATTCATAAGTAATACAATGTTAGCTGCTAAGTATTATTTATAAAATTTATTCCTATTTAATACATTATTAATTTGTTATTTGATTTTGACATCCGAAGAACAATCATCTCATGATTAGATTAGTTGTATATGAAAATGATGGGATTGGTTGTATATTGTCCTGGCGATTATTGCCAGATACTCAATATTTTTGGCAATAATCGCAAATTTATATTATTATAAATATTATAAGTCATATATTATTAAATGAAAAAAACTGTATGATTCTATTTACGTAAAATAAATTGCAACATATTATAAATGAATGTAAATACATTGTAGTATTTATTATAAATTATACGACGAAAAAATAATGAATAATAAAAAACATATATCTAAAAGCAAAAAAAGACCCTCGATTGAAGTCGGTGAGGATGGTTGAGAGCTTCTAAAGGCCTTTGCAACATGATTGATACAATTATAAGGAAGCATTTTTTTCATATCTATCAGTGAAGGCGGAGAAGTTGAATATATCCTTGCACCAAGAACATAACCTGTGTAATGGATATTTAGATTGTATAAGGATCTCGGAATATTATTACACAGAAAGAGTAAACTGTTTTTCTAAGATAGAAACGAAGAACATGTCCGAGTATATCAAGTCTTTCCAATAAATTCTACATATACAACTCATTTTATAGTTATTCGCAACTTTTGATATACCCTCTTACAGAGTTACACGAAAGAGTATCATTTGGATTTGGTAAGAAATTATATTAATAAATACGTATATTTGAAAAAATATTAATAATAAGAAAATAATATTTCTAAAAATAACATAACAACTATATAGTCCATTATCTTTGCATTATCATCAGTATATGCATAAATGAGATATATGCAAACACACATATCATTTAATAAATTATATATACACAGTGTAATAATTTTTATTATTATATTTTGTATTTAAATATTATTACACACTTAATTACCTACATATAATTAGCATAATTGTAATTAATAATTAATACGTACAAGTATAAATTTAAATATATGTTTTTCATATTGAATACGTTTCATATATATATAACTTAATAATTTTATAAATTTTACATTTTATTCTGGAAAATTATTTTATACAAAAATTATAAAATTATCTTAATTAATTTAATCAGTCATTTTGCTGTGCCAATTTCCTTGTCATAGCTTTTAAATCTTTTCTCGAAATCTTCCCTGAAGCCGTATATGGAAAACTGTCCAAAAATATCACGCCTCCACGTAGTTTGCATCGATCTTCCATGTTTTCCGCTACAAAGTCAATCAATTCCTGTTCTGTCACCTATATATGTAAAGAAAATTAAACTAATGTAAGAAAGATCTCTAAGAAAGATTTCTAATATGTAACGATTTCTTATTTCGAATTAAAAAATAATGACATTATAAATAATAATGCCATTCACTCAATATACACAATATTGTTTAATTTAATTCACTATAAAATAAAAAAAGTATTTTATATGTTGATTTTATACTTAAAATATTTACAAAATTTGATATAATGTGAAAAATGTTGTATATATTTTTTAATTATATCTCTAAAACAAATATTTTTATTAAAATTAATTTTATTTTTAAAGAGATATTTTGGAATATATATGAAAAATTAATTGGCAGTGATTTCATCACAGAGAATTTATTTGGTACATTTTGATCCACGATTCCATTATATATCCAACAAAAAAATTGAACCTTGATGCCAAGTCTCTTGGTGACATAAGCAAGAGGGTGTTCATCATCTAATGTATGAGGCACTCCTATTATTGCAGCTTCTAACACTGCTGGATGTAATAATAATATATTTTCGATTTCTCCGGGAGAGATCTGATAGCCTCTATACTTTATAAGTTCCTTTATTCTATCGATAATGAATAATTCTCCATCTCCATCTATATAACCGATATCACCTGAATGCAGCCATCCTATAAGTATTCCAAGAATTTATTTTTATATAATTTGATTTTATAAAGATATTATTAAATATAATCTTTTGGATTTAATATAAAACACAAAATTAACATAATCATATCTTGCAAGATAAATGCAAATTGTTTTAAGACAGTTTGCATGTACTAAGTAACAATCCTAAATAATAATTATTTTGACAGAAAGTGTATCTTTATTATCAATTACCTTCATTATCAATGGTATTTTTTGTCGCCTCGGGATTTCTATAATAACCATTCATTAAGCTTGGAACTTTCATCCATACTTCTCCTGATTGATTCGGACCAAGTACTTTCCCGCTTTCTAGATCAACGATTTTCATTTGCACATTCTCGGCTAGGATTCCGCAAGATCCATTTTTATGATGTGGTTGCTGTATCGTTACAATACCACCGGTTTCCGTCATTCCTAGAAGCATAAAAAATATAATCAAAATTATTATATAACGCACATTAATATATGTTGATATTTTATGGCACTATAATATTATTTACCGTAACATTGCAATATTTGAACATGCGGTAAAATACGCCTTAAATCTTCCTGCATTTTTGTCTTAAGCAATGTACCACCGCATTTTATAACTTTCAAAGATGATAATGGATATTTCTGTACGTATCCGGATCTGAGAAATCGACTCAACAAGTTCGTGCTAAGCATAACAACTTGTATCTAGATAGTAACATAATTTATACTTTATTGTCGTATTATATCCAGAAAATCAATTACAACATAATGAATAGATAAGCAATTGTAATACATTCTTTTTTTAATTACAATTTGCATTTCTTTTGCAAGATATTAACATATAATTTGCTATTAATTTGTTAAAATGCAATCTGTAACCCTTAAATATAAGTATTAATAGAAAATTAATAGCATTGCTCTCTGATATTATAATTATTAAAATAATAATTTTTACCGCTAGTTATTACGGTAAATTATCACCTTATAATATTATAATTTGTTTTAAAGAAATTGATGTTGAACAATGTTATCATAGGAAGAGTAAATGTTATCGTTGTGATTACTTGTAAAACTTAGCTATCACAGAAAATCTGGAGTTATCAGTGCGATAATATATTTCAATTATCACATTTTTAAAATAGGATATGTAAAAAAATTAATTTTTTTTAATTTAATTATTTGATAAAAGAAGCTATCCATACATAAAATAAATAATATTACTTTGTATTTTTCGATTAATCGGCAAGTCATCTCAAATTCAAATTCTGGATAGATAATTGCTTTAGTGCTTTGCATGATTCCATTGAGGTTCAGCATTATTCCACTCAACCAAAAAAGAGAAGAGAACCAAAGTGATGGCACGTTGTTTATGTCTATCCAATTGTGTTGCATTAAAATTAACATAGCGTAGTTAGACAGTTCGACTCCTTTTGGCAACCCCATAGTGCCCGATGAATGCAAAATGCATGCTATCTTTTTGATGTCATCGAGTTCGATGTAATGAAAATTTGTTATTTCTGCATCGTTACAATTTCTCAAGATATCAGAGAATGAAACCGCATCGACATGTTTGCCAAAAACTACTACCGTGGGACTGCAATTCTGCTCCTTTATTGCGTTTAAAATGACATTTATAGATTTCTCGCTACAGAAGATCATCTTCGGCGTCATTAGTTGCAAAAAGTACAGTGCAGTTTCTGATAACAAATACAACAAATAGTTCATAAATAATAAAAATATAAATGTTACGTTAAATAATACTGTACAGTTAAATTATGTCTAATTAACAAAATAAGTAAAATTGAATTGTTATTGGAAACGTATTATTATAACTCATTAATCTAATAAAATGTAATGTCTGAGAACATGTTTGATAATCACAAGAGAACTTACGTAAGCTCATGTCTTCGTTCCACGGATTGAAGATCGCATTGATATAAGCTGCCGAAAGACAGGGCACAAAAGTGTTAAGATGATTACCAGTGCATACACTAATAACGTCGCCGGATTCGATTCCTTGTTTTTGCATCCATAAAGCGCATCTCACAGCTTTATCTTGCATCTCCGCGTATGTGATCGTTTCTTCAGTACGTGCGTCCAACTGCATAAGTAGTAGTATTATACAAAACATTTCAAAATCACAAGAAATTAACTGTATGGTAGTCATTAGTTTTTTAACAATTAAAAAAATAGTTTATAATTCAAGAACACATACCATATATTTTATCAAAATTTTTTATTAAAATTTTTATCAAAACTATAACAGAATTAAATAAAATTTAAGCATTATGTATCTGCAATTATTAGTAATTAGTTAAATAATAGTAATTAGTAATTACTTAAATAACTTTTGTTCAAATTTCATTTTTCTACAAGTTAATTTCTCTGTTAGAAAATCATGATTAATATTATCTGCTCTCTGAAATAATAATTTTAAGATATTTATTTATTTATTTATTTATTTATTTATTATTACCTTTTTTATAAGATAAGATTTAGAACAATACAGTTTTAACAAAAACAGGTTGTTAGTATAAGATTGACTTTGCAATTATTTTAAATTTTACTTTTTTACTCACGCGTGCAATTTTATCCCCGTTGCTTTTAATGGTAATCCAAATCAATTCTCCTAAACTTTTGTAATTATTCAAATTATGCTTTATTTGTCCTCTGAAAACGTTGTTTTCCATGGTGAAAATCTAGATGTAACAGACGGGTGTGACAATTTTAATTGTGTACTGTAATGCCTTTGTGCAATGTCTTTAATCTATACGTTTTATAGCACTCGTATGTATATCTGTATATTTACGAGTTTTTAAAAATAATATGAAAAAAATTATGAAAATTGTCACGCTTGCTTTAGTATTTACCTTTAAATTATTCTCAACTTCACTAGAAATATTCGGATATCAGATCGTAATTGTAGAATCTTGAATATAATTTTAAAAAATGTCACTCTATAATATACTGTAATAAAGCATTTTATAACTATTTTAAATAAATTAACTGAAAGCAACTACTATACATATATGTGTATATGCGTACATATATAAGATGTGTATGTTTTTGCGTATGTTGGAGCAGATGGGATGAAATGTACATACGAAAAGTTAAATAGATTTTTCTTCCGAAATAAATTTTAATTAAAATGGGACTAACAATATATCGGTTAGGATCAATCATTTTCATTATTCATTAATTTTTTTGAATAGTAGAATTCTCGAAAAGCATTAGTTTTATTTATTGATAGAAGTTAAATCTGCAAATGGTTTTACCAATAAATTATATTATCAAAGCAATATGATGGTTTTACTATATTTTTTGTAATCTTTTATCTCTTTATTTGATTATATGACTGCTGATTTCATTGTAAAACTTAATCATATAGTACACTCATAACAGAACTCAATAATCTTGAGAACAACTGCCAGAAACTTAAATTATAAGGAGTGAGTTATGATTGAACAAAATATAACATTATAAGTCCGGAAAACCAAATTCGGCGCGCAGTTTGAAGGACTACAAATATGGTATATATGCAAGTTATAGCATATATATAATTCACATTAAAAATTATTTAAAGCATTAAAAGATCTAGCTTCGACCGGTATAGGCTTTTAGTTTATCGATTGTATTCTCACATATACGTTCTTAACATGAGATTCTTATTGATTAAATTATATAATATATTATTATATATATTACATATTTATTATATATTTCTACTACATTCACTTGATTTGATATCTGACACGTTTTGATCTTTACTTAGTCTTCTTCAGTTGTTCGATCTAACATAGAATGTTTCCCTACCATATAACAATCAAATGACTTTCATAAAATTTTCAATTAATGTTTAGCAATAAATTAGTATAGTTATACGATAGAGAAATATCTATGTTAGATCGAATAACTGAAAAAGATTAAGTAAAAGTCGAAACGTTTTAGATATCAAATCGAATGAATGTAGTAGAAATATAGTAATAAATATTAGATATTATATTGTTCGTTTACATAGCCTCACTATTTATTTTATCGTTATATATTTTATTTGACAATTTGCATATAATGTATTTATGTATACAGAAAAAGTGCTAACATATTAATATAAATTATAAAATACTTGTAATCAATAATAGGTATTAAAAAGTAGCTATTAACAATAAGAAATTATTATTATACGCAGCTGCCTTACCATTAGTAAATTGTTGTAAACATCGATATATAAAACACATGATAGATTATCATATGAATTTATAAAATACATTTAAATTTATAGAAAATGCACAGTACCTTCGGTAAATATAAAAGTATCCGTATATGATGGACAGAAAGCTCAAAATTAAATAAAAATCAATTTTAATGAAGATTTCGTAAATAAAAAAATTTTTTCACTACGCAAAGATTATTCTTTCTGATGAATATTCAACAGATAAGGAAACAAGGAAGCACTTATGGATGTTAAAACCTAACTGCAAGAAATTACTGATCATTCATCGCATACGTATCTATTTCTAGATATTTATAAAACATTCTCCCTCTATCATAAATGACGTTGCCTGCAAGCAATACACAAATCATGAATATTGCTGTATCATTACTATTGACATTTGTAATTTTAGTAACCTTGAATTATTTATAGTTTTTAAATGAGTATACAAACAAGTTAATATAGAAATTTTGACTAACTCTGAATATTGCACAATGTGCAAATATTAACGTTTTAAATATTTTATTATTGTAAGTAAAATATTTAAAACTTTATCTAAAATCCTTATTGTTATTTTTAAAATATTTTAGTTGCAATCTGTCATAATATTATTATAAATTAGGGAAGAATCTTGAAATCAATTTCGACAGTTAGTAAATTGGCGAATGATTTATTAAACATAATAATCTATATTTTAAAGAATAAATGTAGATGTTTCTGAATAAAGTTGTACATAAAACTATCTTTGTATGTAAAAACTGAAGGATGGCTCAAAATTTTGTTAACAATCTACTAGTATATGTTTTAAATTAATTCAAGATCATTAAATATTACGTCAGAAATATTAATATTTGTCTATCAACTACAAGTACCTGATGATAATTACGATTGTTTGCTACTTATGATAAGAATACTTTGATAACGGAAGATATTTTGAACTGTTACGTAAATATGCTTATAGTGATATAATATAATGTACACGATAACTTCGCTTGCAAATATTAATATCCGGTATGTAATGAGAAAGAATATTGAAATTTGAAAAAGAATAGATAATGTTAGAAAAGATTCCGTGGCTAATGAATAGAAAGATTTCATTTACTACGCGAAGATTATTCTCTCAAATAAATGAATAGACAATCGATTATCGAGACACTAATTGTAAACATTGATAAAAACTGATTGCAATGGTATCATTGATTAATTATTTTTACCGCGTATGTAGAAATATATACAATATTTTTCCTTCACACAGATGACGTTAAGTCTCGACGAATTCTTCAAATCATAAACTTGCTGCGTCATTATTAAATCAGTTAGTAATATTCCTTATTTAATGTTCTTTAATACTTATCTTAGGAAAAATATTTTTAAAATATTCTTAAAATTCAAAACGAAATGTGTCTGCTTTGTTGTATTTTTCGATATAATAAATGAAATTTGTTTCGGCTTAACAGTAGGACTTTAAAGTGGGAGTGCTAATTAGAAGAAGTTATATATTAGACACGACGGAAGTCTCTTATTTTTAGAATAATGTCTTTTATCTCATAAACATAAATTACAGGTATTATACTCAAAGGGTACAATTTAACTGAAATAATTTGCATTTGCAGTGGTGCAATGGAATTATTTAACACTGCAACGAGTGCGTGATTACTTCCAAATTACTTTTAACTGACCTGTTTTGTTATTATTTTTTACACACACTATCTTCGTTCACTGATTCTTATTAACTGTTATTATTTCTTACTGATTCTCTATTTAAGATAAATCAGATTGTATATTTGTTATATATTTTTTACATTTTCAAAATATTCGACATTTTAAACGACTGATTGTTGTAATAAAAAAACTGTATTAATGTGATGAAGAAAACTTGTCTCAACATTTTCATATCTGAAACGATACTGTATTCTGTACATTTAATAATTCCTTTATATTCCAATAAGTGGAACTCGAATTTGTTACATTGTACCTAGCTTATCTATTTATCAAATATAAAACGTAAAGAGAATGAGAGTATAAGCGTTAAGAACATTGAGTAATTTAGTGTGTACAAAGATTCTTTATTTGATTTATTTGATACAATTCTTATGTCTTGGTTTCGTTTAAATGTTTAACCAACGATTGTTGCTGATAATAATTCAAATAAGAGTCGAAACGTTTATTAACGTAAATCAAATAAAGATTTTACATATATACACTAAATTGCGCAACGTTTACAGTGCTTACATTCTTATTAACTCATTCCTTACATTTTATATTTGATAATTTTGAGAGTACTTTAGAATTTGAATATCTATCTATTTAAGAGAGAGAGAGAGAGAGAGAGAGAGAGAGCCGATAATGAGATAAATAAATACATACCAAGGTGAAAGTTACCTACAATCAATTTTATATTAAATTTTATATTAAAACTTAACATAGAAGAAAAGGTAAATCGCAGATATGTATATATATTTCTTGATAATTGCATCACTAAAGTTATTTTTAGTGATCAAATAACAAAATATGCCGTTACAGAAATCAAATTAAACTATTTTAAACGTAGTTTGCTTTATATAGAAATATTAAATATAAAGCGTTTTGTCAGAGTTAAGTTGTATTGAATGTTCACGCAGTGGCATAGCAAGTGGTGGCAACGTCCGGGGAGTCCTCTTTGTCCCTGCACCCATGTCTTTTTTAGTTAAACTATTATTTACTAGCATTTACTACTTTATTTCACTTTACTTTTATTTCACTCTCCTTTACATTTATTTTTACTAACATTTATATCACTTTACTATTTACTATTATTTATTATTATTTACTGGCAACCACTAATAGATTAATTACCAAATAACTTATTTAATCTATTATATTTCTTTGTAATATTTTTATACCCTTTCGCCCCTTCCGCTCCCCCTTGCTACGCTACTGTGTTCACACACTTCTCTGTTATACAGTACAACAGCAGGTCAAGCTTTATTATTAGTCAACATATCACATCTTTACGTATGTTTGATTTTAATCATTTTACTATAACAAATTACTGTTATTATTCAAAATAATATATCGTATATTAAAGAAACTTCTCCTTTAATTAATAATACAACGCATATATTTATATATATATATATATATAAATTTATTCTTTTAAGTTGAAGAACAATAAATACGAAATTTTAAGACGCTCGAAAAATTATTTGCCTCCTCGACATTTCCACTTTTTTTATCGTAATACTTGTTTGATCTAAATAAAACTTAGAAAAAAGTATCTATGATCTAAAAGAGATATTTTTTATTGTGATAATTTTTCCATTATTTTTTTTGCTATAAATACATAAACGCAATGCAAACTTGCTTCTTGTGTCAGTAAGTCTTAGTTTGTCATACCGATTTTTACTGACTCCTGCAATTAGGCAATTATATGTATATAGTCTTCTTTATTGCATTTGATGGGACTTTAAGCTCTTAACTCGGTCCATATGCTTCAAAATTTGGAAAGTTACTTTTTAAAAGTAATTGTTTTGTGTTCAGTGTGGATGTTTTAAAAGGCTGTGGTCCACTTGACGCTACAAATGCTTTGAAGCGTTTGAGCGACCAATCAGAACAAAGAATTTTACGAATTAACTAATCAAAGAATGCTTCGAAGCATTGTAACGTCAAGTGGACCGCAGCCTTAATATCAACACCGTAGTTCTTATGTAGTTTATTTTACAAGACAGGTTACAGATTATTGTTATAATACACCTTTCATTTTTACACTATTTGAAAACTAATAATTATGAAATATAATGTTATCTGAGGACTGTCGCCCGGAATCACGACGAACGCCTGGGGGCTATTGCCCTGAATCGGATTCGTAAGTCTGAACTATCGCCCTGAGTGTTACACACAACGCCTAGGGGCTGCAGAAACATTTATTCTCAAGTACACTCTTCGAATGGCCTTCTGCGTGGCATTGTATCGAACAAGACCTTCGTCCTTTGGCCTTACGAGAGATACTCCGAGAGAACTCTTGGCGACGCTGATCCTCACCGCCACCACCGTCCCGCGGATCCGATCACTATTGGATGTCATCAGATCACAAAAGCCGCGGACCGGCGACAACGATAGAGGCCAGACACGAAAATCTCATAGTCGCCGAGACCGGTGCCATGACTGTCTTTGTCTGAAGTCGCAGCACTCTGTCAATTCAATGGTATTGTCTACTTATTCTTACCTATGTGTGAGATATATACGAGTGTGTATGCTCGAAATACAAATATTACTTGAATCTTATATGTCTTGTAAATATATGTCGTAAATATATGACTTAAATTGTGTACAGAATAGTAATTCTTTGCTATTACTTGTTAGTAAAAAAAATATATCTATAAATATTATTAATAATACTTTTGAGACTTTCACGGATATGTTTTTCAGAAATGCTAAAGGCCGGGTTATCGTCGTGTCATGATCCAATGTTAATGTCAACGTTTCATGAACGAATCAACGTTTCTGATTTCATCAGTGAGGAACACATTGATACTAGAATGCATTGATATTATTATTACTATATTATTAATTACTAATTCTTAAAAATAACTTGTTTAAAAAAAAATTAAATCGATGACGTTGATTAGACGTCGATAAACATATTAAGCTAATTCTAAGTCAAATCGCATGGTCAAAGTTCAACGCGAGAAATTCTGCAATCTTGTATTTTGATAGTTTTGAGATGCATAGCGTAATCTTTGCTGTGCAGACTCGAATACTTTTAAGTGGTTGTAACTATAACCACTTTTAATGCTCTCGATTTCAATTTACATGTGCACCGAATATGATTTAAATGCTACTTTTTCTTAAAATCTTCAATGCACCCATGTAGGGTAACTACGGTATATACGCCGCATCTAACAAAAACTTAAAAAAAGTTTATTATTTACTATTTTTAAGATAAATGAACTATATCAGTAAAAACTTTGTACTGTTTACTACTAAAAAGTTAATTTATATTTTTACAAATTGTTCATGTCCTTAAGGTTATTGAGTGTTATTATACATTCAGTCACCTTCCTTACTGTTTGGCGTTTCAATTACAGTGATGGGTAAGATATTCTTATAATTTATCTAGATACAGATACAGTTACATGTACGAAAATTTATCTAAATACAGATATAGATACATATATTAAAATGTATATAGATACAGATATCAGATACTTTAAAAGTATCTTCAGATACGTTTCAGATACCCTTAAATTAATTTTATTGTAATAATGGTAATGTGTAAAAAATTATTAGTTATTAAATGAATCGTTTATTCATTCACATTTTCGTTACATTTAGATAATTGAAAGAACTTAAAATTATCGTAAAACGATTTAGGAGAATTATAAAATAATAATTAGAATTATAAAACGATATTATTCATCATAGTTCTACAAACTAAAAGTGCTTTAAACATTGTGTGGGGCTAAATATATGTTTTTCATATTGAATGCGTCTCATAACTTAATAATTTAATAAATTTTACATTATTCTGGAAAATTATTTCATATAAAAATTATAAAATTGTCATTCCTTTCAACTCTTTTCTCGAAATCTTTCCTGAACCCGTGTATGGAAAACTGTCCAAAAATATCACGCCTGCTCGTAGTTTGCATCGATCTTCCATGTTCTTCGCCACAAAGTCTATCAATTCCTGTTCTGTTACCTGTACAAAGAAAATTAAACCAATGCAAGAAAGATCATTCTAATACATAACAATTTCTTATTTCGAATTAAAAAATAATGTTTAAACAATAATAATATTCACTCAATATACAATGTTATTTAATTTTATTTACTATAAAAAAAAGAAATAAAATTTTATATGTTGATTTTATACTTGAAATATTAAAAGGTTTTGATATAATAATATAAAAAATTTCGTTTGTTTTTTTTTTATTTTAGCATATATCTAAAACAAATATTTTTATTAAAATGATATTCTATTTATTTAATTTTTCAAGAGATATTATGAAATATGCAAAATTAGTTTGCAGTAATTTCATCATAGAGAATTTATTTTGTAAATTTTGATCAATGGTTCCATTATATTTTCAACAAAAAAATTTAACCTTGACGCCAGGCCTCTTGGTGACATAAGCAAAAGGGTGTTCACCGTCTATTGTATGAGGCACTCCTATTATTGCAGCCTCTAGCACTGCTGGATGTAGTATTAACATATTTTCGATTTCTCCGGGAGAGATCTGATATCCTCTATATTTTATAAATTCTTTTATTCTATCGATAATGAATAATTCTCCGTCTCCATCTATATAACCAATATCACCCGAGTGCAGCCATCCTATAAATATTCCAAGAATTTACTTTTATGTTATTTGATTTTCTAAAGATAGATATTATTAAATGTAATCTTTTGGATTTAATATAAAACACAAAATTTACATAATAATATGAAGATATATCTTGCAATAAATAAATGCAAAATTTACATGGTATTATAGTATGAAGATAAATCTTGCAATATAGATATAAATGCAAATTGTTTTAAGACAGTTTGCACGTATTAAGTAACAATCCTAAATAATAATTATTTTGACAAAAGAGTATCTTTACCTTCATTATCAATGATATTCTTTGTCGCCTCGGGATTTCTATAATAACCATTCATTAATCTTGAAACTTTTATCCATATTTCTCCTGATTGATTTGGACCAAGTATTTTCCTGCTTTCTGGGTCGACGATTTTCATTTGCACATTCTCGGCTAGAACTCCGCAAGATCCATTCTTATGATGTGGTTGCTGTATTGTTACCATACCACCGGCTTCCGTAATTCCTACAAACATAAAAAAATATAACCAAAATTATGTAACACACATTAATATATGATGATATTTTGGCACTATAATGTTATTTACCGTAACATTGCAATATTTGAACATGCGGTAAAATACGCTTCAGATCTTTCTGCACTTTTGTATTAAATAATGTACCAGCGCATTTTATAACTTTTAAAGATGATAATGGATATTTCTGTATGTATCTGGATCTGAGAAATCGATTCAACATGTTCATGCCAAGGAAAACAGTTTGTATCTATAAATAGTAACATAATTTAAGCTCATTGTATGTCCAGATAATCAATTACAACATTAATGAGTAGATAAGCGATTGTAATACATTTTTTTTAGTTACAATTTGCATTTCTCTTGCAAGATATTAATATATAATTTGCTATTAATTTGCTAAAATGCAATCTGTAACCCTTAAATGTACGACAAATATTAACAGAAAATTAATAGCTGATATTATAATTATTAGTAATAATAATTTTTACCATAAGTGATCATTACAATAAATTATCATCATCTTAAAATAGTACATTATAATTTGTTTTAAGAAATTGACTCAATATCACAGGAGGAGTTGTCGAGGAATGCTGTCATTGTGATTACTTGTAAAATTCAGCTATCACAGAAAATCTGTACTTGTCAGTGTTCCATATTTATCAAATAATATATATTTCAGTTATCACAATTTTAAAATGCGATATATAAAAAAATTAAAGTTTTTTACTTTGATTATTTAATAAAAGAAGCTATCCATACATAAAATAAATAATATTACTTTGTATTTCTCAATTAATCGGCAAGTCATTTCCTCATCAAATTCTGGATAGATTATTGCTTTGGTGCTTTGCATGATTGCAAGGAGGTTCATCATCATTCCAGTCACCCAAGAAATAGAAGAGAACCAAAGTGATGGCACATTGGTTATGTGTATCCAATTGTGTTGCATTAAAGATATCATTGCGTAGTTAGACAGTTCGACACCTTTTGGTATCCCCGTAGTGCCCGACGAATGCATAATGCACGCTGTCTTTTTAATGTCATCGAGCTCGACATAATGAAAATTTGTTATTTCCTCATCGTTACAATTTCTCAGGATATCAGAAAATGGAACCGCATCGGCATGCTTGTCGAAAATTACTATCGTGGGACTCCAATTCTGCTCCTTTATTGCGTTTAAAATGACATTTATAGATTTCTCGCTACAGAAGATCATCTTCGGTGTTATTAGTTGCAAATAGTACAGTGCAGTTTCTGATAACAAATATAACAAATAGTTCATAAATAATAAAAATATAAACGTTACGTTAAATAATACTGTACATTTAAATTATGTCTAATTAACAAAATAGGTAAAATTGAATTGTTGTTCATAATTAAAGTATTCTTAGAGAATGATTATCCTTTGAATTTTATATTTGCTAATATTAGCAACCGTTTGAAGAACATTATTATGGCTAGTAATGAGAAGAGTGTTGTTAATAATAATAGCGTTGATGTACACTTAAAAAAAATTTTGTTCATTTTTGATCCAATGAATGATTGTTAATCAATGTCCGACTTAATGTCCGACTTAATGTAGTTAATTCATTGATACAATAACTGGATTCATTTATAGAACTATATATTCATTCTTGCAATGTGAATTCTAGTGATAGATAGTTTTATAATCTAAATCATTATGGGAATTCATTGGACCAATTTTCATTATTTTTTCATAATTCAATGAATATTTTGTTGTATTTACGTACAGTTTTGGATCAGTGTAGTGCAGCCTTCGTGATTCACTGTTGCTTTCGTTCGTGGTATTACTGAGAAGTTTGGTAGATTGAATAGCCGTTATATGAGGGTACCGTTTTATAGTATCAATAAATTGCGAGAATTCATTAAGGTGCGTAAGGATTCCTTACCGTGTGACAAGAAGTTGAATGTTGTTTATAAGATTTCTTGTAAGAGTTGCGATGCGAGTTATGTGGGACAGACGTGTAGACAGCTGAAGTCAAGAATCATGTCAAGGAGCATAAGAACCATATCCGATGGAACACGTCTACCCGTAATGTTATAACGGAGAATCGGTTACAAGAAGGCCATGATTTCGATTGGGACAACGTTACAATATTGGACGAGAAACCACACTACAGGAAAAGATTGATTTCGGAGATGATTCATCAGGAGACAGACGCATGAATTCAACTTGCAGACGGATATGGAGGAGCTTTCCAAGGCCTACTCCCCGATTATAGACAAGCTATAAAAGATCGAGTTGTTGTCGCGCCTAATCAGTCAGTGTCGCTCGTACACAGTAATGAGTCTTTCTGGCATGATTTTTTATTACTTTCCAACTTTCATTTTCTTGGAATTGATTAACGTTTTAATGTTAGATTTTCCCATTTGTAATCTCGAAAAATACTAGCTAAATCTAAAAGCGACTCACTGTGTCTGATACTGACTGGCCAACATATCAAGAACCGGTTTTTGAATTATTAATAGCAATGTTTGCGATATGGTATTTTGTGATCACGATGAGCGTTTTTATTTTCGGAATAATTAATTATAATCTTAAAGTTTTTTGATAAATTAGGTTTCCTTATTCTCTATTTCGATATTTCCAATATTTTCTTTCTTTTTTTCTTTTTTCTTTTTCTTTCACTCTTATTTGGGTTTAATTCTGACATTTAAATTCTCGATGTAGGGGAGCTCACCGTGACAACTTTTATTCACAGTTTATATATATGTTAGTTTGTGTTGTCTCTGAAGAAGGCTCAAAAGTGAGTCAAAACATGTAAGGGCGTTTAGTAGAATAAAAAAGTTTTACGCTTTATGGGTGTATTATTTGTGCGACGTCTTCTGCGCCTGACTCCTATTACCCTTATTCTTTCCAATTTCTTTTGAATTGTTGTTATTGGAAACGTATTATTACAACTCATTAATATAATAAAATGTAATATATGAGAACATGTTTGTATAATCACAAGAGAACTTACGTAAGTTCATGTCTTCGTTCCACGGATTGAAGATCGCATTGATATAAGCTGCCGAAAGACAGGGCACAAAAGTGTTAAGATGATTACCAGTGCATACACTAATAACGTCGCCGGATTCGATTCCTTGTTTTTGCATCCATAAAGCGCATCTCACAGCTTTATCTTGCATCTCCGCGTATGTGATCGTTTCTTCAGTACGTGCGTCCAACTGCATAGTAGTGTTATACAAAATTTTCCAAAATCACAAGAAATAATACTATATTGCAGTCATTAGTTTCACAATTAAAAAATAGTTTATAATTGAGGAACATATATCTTTTATCACAAAACTATAATAAAATTAAACAAAATTTAAGCATTATGTATCTGCAATTATTTATAACTAGTTCTTAAGTATAAACTTTTGTTCAAATTTTATTTTTCTACATGTTAATTTCTCTCTTAGAAACACTTATTAAATCATGATTCATATCTGTTGAAATAATAATTTTATTATATCTATTTATTTATTTATTTATCATTATCTTTTATAAAATAAGATTTAGAACAATACAGTTTCAACAAAAACAGATTGGTATATTATACTGACTTTGCAATTATTTTCAATTTTAATTTTTTACTCACGCGTGCAATTTTATCCCCATGGCTTTTCATGGTAATCCACATCAATTCTCCTAAACTTTTGTAATTATTCAAATTATGCTTTATTTGGCCTTTGTAAATGCTGTTGTCCATAGTGAAAGTCTAGATGTTACAGATTAGTATGACAATTTTCATTCTTTACCGCAATGCCTTTATACTATTTCCTTAATCTATACGTTTTACAGCACTCATATGTGTGTAAAACATATGCAAGCATCATTAATTATTTACCGCGTATGTAGAAATATTTATGATATTTTCTTCCTTCTTTCACAAATAATGTTAAGGAGATCCTAAAGCGAAGCTCGAATTCCAACAAAGTCATTAGATGTTGCTATTTTTCTAGCGCATCGATATGTCTTTATGTGCTACCACACCAATATCTCACACAACCTATGATACACGCAGTCGCACGTGTCAATTTTCGTATAACAAATTCGTCGCGATAAAGCGTCTAAGTCTATTCTAAGAACTCGACGTTATTTGTTCGTGTAAACTACGTTTGTATGTTTGTGGATCACTATTTCATAAGTACAGGTTGCAAAACTTTCATATCAAGCAAATGTTGAATATCAATTTCGAAATTTTTGGTCGTTCTCGGTATAAACTCTACCTCACAAACACGTATTAATGCGTATACTTTAATCTTGGAAAAGGATTTTCGAATCTGTGAAAGAGAAAAAAGTATTTGTTATACAAAAATTATATGATTTAGTCGGTACAGACGGCTTTAGGATCCTCTTAAGTCTCGAATTTTTCAAATCATAAACTTGCTGAGTGATTATTAGATCAGTCAGTAATATTCCTTATTCAATGTTCTCTAGAACTTATATATATTTTAGGAAAAATATTTTTTAAATATTTTTAAAATTTAAAACGAAATGTGTCTACTTTGTTGTATTTTTCGATATAATGAAATATTGTGGATTTGCTCCGGCTTAAGAGTAGGATTTTTTAGTGGAAGTGCTGATTAGAAGTTATATATTAAACACGACGGAAGTCTCTCTTATCTCATAAACATAAATTACAGGTTTTTTATTCAAAATAACTGAAATGATTTGCACCTGCAGTGGTGGGATGGAATCATTTAACAATGCAACGCGAGTGCGTAATTACCTCCAAATTACTTTTAATTGACCTGTTTTGTTATTATTTTTGACTGATTTTGTTCACTGGTTCTTATTAACTTTTAATAAATCAGGTTGTGTATATTAGTTGTATATTTTTTCACTTTCAGTATTCGACTTTTTAAACAACTGATTGTTATAATAAATAAAACTGTATTAATGTGATGGAGAAAATCTATCTCTATATTTTCGTGTTAGAAACGACTCTGTATTTTATAGGGTAAAAATAGGGAATGTAAAATAGGTTGCTATTCCATATTCCATATTCCCTGCTTTTACCCTATATTGTATTATATTATATGTGCGATTAGTCAATTTCAATGAACTAATCGGTCGATTAAATTTGTTAAAGTAACCTTATATCTTTTATTACGTCTTGTTCAATGGAAGGCAACGCAAGTTCATTTAAGCGCATCTGACTTATTGTTGAACGAAAGTAGGTTTTAATATCTAAGTTTTAATTTTGAAAAGCTTCGTTCGTAAGTGACAACACTCACGCTTATGGTTAGGAAAATTCATAAGACACTACTGTTAAAATTTGGTAGCATTTCTGTGAAATTCCATCGATCCATTGATATACATGCAAGAAATATTTCGGCTGACCACCCATCTACTGATTGGCGCTCATGTCAAGATAGTGTCTGGAACGGATCGCCTCTTCCGCCCCCCTTGCTACGCTATTGTGTTCACACACTTCTCTGTTATACAGTACAACAGCAGATCAAAAGCTTTATTATTAGTCAACATATCACATCTTTACGTATGTTTGATTTTAATCATTTTATTATAACAAATTACTGTTATTATTCAAAGTAACATATCGTATATTAAAGAAACTTCTCCTTTAACTAATAATACAACGCATATATTTATATATATATATAAATTAATACTTGTTTGATCTAAGTAAAACTTAGAAAAAAGTATCTATGATCTAAAAGAGATATTTTTTATTGTGATAATTTTTCCATTATTTTTTTGCCATAAATACATAAACGCAATGCAAACTTGCCTCTTGTGCCAGTAAGTCTTAGTTTGTCATACCGATTTTTACTGACTCCTGCAATTAGGCAATTATATGTATATAGTCTTCTTTATTGCATTTGATGGGACTTTAAGCTCTTAACTCGGTCCATATGCTTCAAAATTTGGAAAGTTACTTTTTAAAAGTAATTCGTTGCCATTATTTGTTACTAACAAAGTAAAAAACATATAACTGTAATTAATAATACTTTTAAGGCTTTCACAGATATTTTCTTCAAAGGTGCCAAAGAGTTTGCGAGTTGTCGTCGTATCATGATCCAATGTTAGTGTCAATGTTTCGTGAATCTTGCTGTTCATTTTATCAGAGGAGCACATTGATATTAGAACACACTGAGATTAGTTACTAATTCTTAAATATAACTCGTTCTCAGAAAAGAGAAAAATAAAAATTAGATGAACGTTGATTAGACATCGATAGATGTGTTTAGCAGTTAGCTAATTATAAGTCAAATTATCGCACGATCAAAGTTCAAGCGTGAAAAATTCTGTAAACTTGCATTTTGATAGTTTTGAAAACGCGTAACGTGATCGTTTCTATGCGAACTCGAATGCTTTCAAATAGTTGTAACCACTTTTAATGCTATATCATTATTCGATTTCAATTTACATGTACACCGAATATGATCTAAATTCTAAGTTCTATTTTTTCTTAAAATCTTCATTGCATCCATGTAAATATTTGAAAATGTCTCATTTTTTTTAATATTGAGAAATATTTTCTATTTTGAATCTCGCCATTAATTTTCAAATTTAAACTCAGAAAAATATTTTAAAAAATCCCGAAACTTAGATAGGTTGTATATATAATAAGGTCTGGTTACTTTATGTCTTTATTTTTTATGTTTCTTTATACATTTTTAAATATTGTTCATAATAGATTGCAAATATTTAACAAATCAATTTTGTTGTGCTAATTCTTAGTACTCATTTTTCAATTAGAAAAGACTTAAATATACACAGTACAATATACACAATAAGAAGATTATATATGTTAATTAAAATAAAACTATTTCTACATATAAAAAGAAAAGATATTTTTTGTTTATTTATGAAACTACTAAGAACTCACATTTATAATATATATGATTTTGAAATAATGCACGATCATGCATAATTAGAAATTTTACATTATTATAAAATTATTTATTTTTATTACATATATATTATTTTAAATTAATTAATCATTGTGCTTCATCGCCATTACTTTCAAATCTTTTTTCGAAATTTTTCCTGAACTTAAATGTGGAAACCTATCCAGGAATATCACTCCTCCACGTAGTTTTAAATGATCCATCATATTCTTTGCTACAAAGTCTATTAATTCTTGTTTCGTCACCTGTATAAAGAAAATTAAACCAATGCACGAAAGATTATTCTAATACATAAAAAAATATTTCTTATTTTATATTAAAATGTAATGTATAAAAATAATGATGTTCTCTCAATATACATAATAATGTTTAATTCAATTTACTATTTAATAAAGGAAATAGAAACTTATATGTTGGTTATATATATAATTAATTAAATATTTAAAATATTAAAAAATATATTAATGTGGAAATTTTTCCATTGTTTTTAATTTGTTTTTAATTTAATTATTTCATTGTGTCTCTAAAACGATATCTTTACTTCTATACAAGACACTCTATTTATTAGATTTTTAAAGAGATATCTCGGAATATGCAAAATTAGTTTGCAATTATCAAATAGATTTCATATTTAGTAAATTTTTGTTCTACTATTCCATTATATTTTTATTTAAAGAAATTTAACCTTAGCGCCAGGTTGTTTGACAATAAAAGCAAGAGGATGTTCGTCATCTATAGCATGAGGTATTCCTATTACGACAACTTCTGACACTGCTGGATGCGATATCAAGACATTCTCGATTTCTCTAGGAGAGATTTGATATCCTCTGTACTTTATGAGATCCTTTATTCTGTCTGTAATAAACATTTCCCCGTCTTCATCTAAATAACCGATGTCACCAGAATGTATCCAACCTAGAAGTAATTAATATATATATTATAATTAATATAATTATATTATTATAATTATTATGATAGAAGAAGAGTCTGTTTACCATCCTTATCAATTGTATTTTTTGTCGCTTCGGGATTTTTGTAATAACCAGTCATTATAGATGGTAGTTTCAGACATATTTCTCCTGATTGATTCGGATTGAGTACTTTTCCGGTTTCTGGATCTATGATTTTTATTTGTCCATTCTTGACTATTGACCCGCAAGATCCGTTTTTGTGATTCGGTAGTTGCATTGTTGTAATATTACCGAGTTCCGTCATGCCTAGGAACAAAGTATACGGACGAAATTTTTTACAATAAATAAATATACATTACTAGGGAATTCTATTTTATATATTCTAGCTCATTTTAATCTTATTGCATTAATAATGTTTACCGAAACATTGCAATATTTGAACATGTGGCAAAAAATGTCTCAGTTCTTCTTGCACCTTTGGCCTAATTGATGCACCACCGAACACTATAATTTTCAATGATGGTAATGGATATTTCTGTACGTAACCTGATTGGTGTAAACGATTCATCATGTTCGTACTAAGGAACACATCTTCTATCTAATAAATAGTATAATAATAATATTTATGCTTTTTACTATATTATGTCGAGATATATAATATAAAATTTAATTGCATTTAAATATAGAACTATTTATCAAATTTACAACATTAATAAGTAAATATTGTTTTTATTCAATTATTTAATATCAATCATCAAACTGAATGTAGAAATGAATATGGAAAAATAATTTATTACTTGCAATAGATTGCTTAGTAGATATGCGATTATGGTACATTCTGTTTTAATTTTATAGTTAGCATTTATTTTGATTGAAACATTTGAACATCTAATTCATTATTAATTAAAATGCTTGTAATTCTCCATAGTACGACAAATACCAGCAGAAAATTAAGCATCTAATTGTAATTTTCAAATTTTATTGTAATAACTCTATTATAATTATTATTATGAAATAAATTGTGACTGAACTTTATCACAGAAATTATGAGTAATCGAAGCAAACATTGTAATTGCTTACAAGGCTTATCTACAATTTAATTTAGATAAGCGTGAAACTATCCTTTACCTATCTTAGTAATAATTTTTTTAAATAAAAAAAAATTAAATTAAAAAAGATTAAATTCTTTTATTTTAATTGCTTGATAAGAGAAATTTTCCACAGATAATATTACTTTGTATTTCTCGATTAATCGGCAAGTCATCTCCTCGTCAAATTCTGGATAGATAATTGCTTTGGTGCTTTGCATGATTCCGCAGAAGTTCATTATTATCCCAGTAACCCAATAAAGAGTAGAGAACCAAAGTGATGGCACGTTGGTCATGTTTATGTTATATTGTAGGCTGATAAATATCATAGCGTAGTTAGACAATTCGACACCCTTCGGTATTCCCGTAGTGCCCGACGAATGCATAATGCACGATGTCTTTTTAATGTCATCGAGCTTGATGTAACGGAAATTAGTCACTTCCACATCATTGCAGTTTTTCAGGATATCGGAGAATGAAACTGCGTCGACATGCTTATCAAAAACCACTACCGTAGCATTGGAATTCTGCTTCTTTATCGCGCTCAAAATAATATTTACAGATTTCTCGCTACAGAAGATCATCTTTGGCGTCATCAGTTGCAAAAAGTACAGTGCAGTTTCTGATATAACAAATAGCTCATAAATAATAAGAAATCAATGCTAAGTTATATGAATTACTTTAAAATTATATTTAATTAACGCAAAATAAATAAAATTGTATTATTATTATTATTGGAAAGGCATTATTTTTAAACCTCTAATCTAATTGGATGTAATATGTGAGGACATTTGATAACAATTATCGCGCAGAATAACTTACGTAAGTCCATATTTTCATTCCATGGATTGAAAATCGCGTTGATATAAGTTGCTGAAAGGCAGGGCACAATGGAATTAAGATGATTGCCTGTACATATACTGATAACGTCGCCAGATTTGATTCCTTGTTTTTGTAGCCACAAGGCGCATCTCACAACTTTATTTTGCAATTCCGCGTATGTGACTGTTTCTTCAGTGCGGGCGTCTAACTGCATAGTATTATTATAAAAATGTTTCAAAATCACAAGAAATTAGTTTTATTGCAAAATCATTAGATTTACGATTAAAAGAACAATTTATAACTTCGGAGTACCGATTTTTTACCAATACTAACAAAATTAGATAAAATTATAATATATAATATAATAACCATATATTTATTTGCAATTATTTTTACATAATTTTTAAGTAACTTTATTTAAAGTTTTAATGTCCTACAAATGAATTCTTCTTTTAATCTATTAAATCATGTTTGAGACGTCAAATAACGTATCAAAATAATAGCTTCAATGTATTTATCTAATCGTGAGAACTACTTTTTAAACAAGATAATTTTTCTTTAGTAATATATCAAAGATAAATAAAAAACAGATTGTTACTAGTGTTAAGATTGATTCCGCAATTATTCGAAATTGTAATTTTTTACTCACTTGTGCGATTTTATCCCCATGGCTTTTAATGGTAATCCACATCAATTCTCCTAAACTTTTGTAATTATTCAACTTATGCTGCGCTTGCTCTTTGTAAACGTTTTCCATGTTGAAAATCTAGATACAACAAAGGAGCACACTGTTATAAATTTATAACGACAAATTATACCCAATCTGAATTATTTTTATTCATATTTATAGGTTATGGCTGATTTTACTCTCTCAATATAGCGTTAATTTGACAAAAATACAATGGAGTTAAATAATTTAACTTAGAGCAATGTATTAATTATTTGACTCAAATTTAATTTATTATTTTGATTTTTATTTGATTTAATTGTTATTCACTGTTAGATATTAAAGGAGCAACGGTAAACTACGTTCATATGCATTAATGTGTTGCAACTACGTTAATGTGAACGTTGTATACTGTTGTTTCTTTGATATCTAACAGTGCATGAAAAAGTTGTGTTGCAATAAGCAGTTGTGATAAGTAGTTTTAATTGCTTATCACAACACTTATATTATATGTGTAAAGATCTATATGCCCGGGAAAAAATATTATATATACGGTAATATTTTATATACATATAATTATATATAATTGTAAAAAGAGATTCAAACTTGTAAAGTATGCATAGTACCTTCGGCAAATATAAAAATATCCGTATATAATGGAATAGAATTCTCAAAATTGAATAAAATTCGATTGTAATGAAGAAGATCCCGCGTGTTTGGTGAATACAAAATTTTTTCCATTACACAAAGCTCATTCTTTTCAATGTACATTCAACAGACAAATGATTAATAAAACACTTATGAACGTTATTATAAACTGACTGCAAGTATTTATCGACTATTCACTGCGCATGTCTCTATATTAATATCTATGATATTATCTCTCCATCGAATAACGCTGAGCGTGCATGAAATATGCACATCATCAAATTTACAGCGTCATTTCATTTTATTATATTTGGAATATATGTGTGTATATAAGGAATATTAAAATAATATTTTTTATTCAGGGTTTTGTGATATTAAATATAAAAAAATTTTTTAAGTAAATAATTGGATGTATGTATCTTTAATGTGATATTTGAAATATTTTCTATGTCAGAATTTTACAACGAATCTTAATGAGTATTATGCACTTTATTTTCAGTAAATGTACCTATATTTGGGTATATTTACAAGTACTAGAAAAATAAAATACCTAGGTACATTTAAGGTATTTCTTTTATTTATTAACATAAAATTTCAGAATAAATAGATAATTTCATGTATCCGCATATAATATTTACATATTATACGTATTTTATATATACATGCATAAATATTCTATGTAAGTTTAGCATGTACAATAAAATGAAGTAACACTTATAAAGCTATTAATTAATTTTTTTTCAAATAATTCGTTTAATATTTATGCATTATGTTTCAAAAACATCAAACATTTATAATTGTCATCAGATAAACTATTTTGTCGCGGCGTTAAAATTTGTTACTCTGCACTAAATGCACGTTGAACGTGCGGGAAAGTATCATCCAAAAGGTAACTAAAATGTATCTCAATATAAATAATATATTTTTTATGTACCGGTAGGTACAAGGAATTGTACCTATAGGTACAAATATAGATATCGGAAAAAAAGGTATTATAATAATGTGTCGTGATATTAGAAGGTTTTGGTTTATAAGTTTGGATAAGTTTTATATCAACACAATTAGTTGCTATTATCTTTTAATCTTGAAGAGATTTCAATTTACAATTATTATCCTTCTAGTGTAAAATGTGTTTTAAATGTTGCGAAATCAAACTTTTATCAATAACTTTTATCGTATGTTTATTTAGTCTTTAGCTAGAAGTTGGGCAATGATAATAATTGCCTTTCTATTAACTTATAATTGATATGCTGATAAGTGAAGAAATATACGTGATTTTACGGTCACGATTACAAATCAGGAAAAATAAGCTAAATAGTTTTTTGTTCATTCCGAATGTCTTGATTCTTACACAATAATTATACAATGATTGGTGGTCAAGTTCTGTATCTTCAATCATTTGGAACAGCGTTCTGCAGAAAATATCGTGACTTCGGAATTCGCGTAAATTACAAAATTATTTATATTTATTTATATTATCATTTATATTAAGCGATCAGTCACTTCCCCTTCGGGGGCGATTTACCGGTCAAAGGGGATGAGCACAAAAATCTTGTCGTACATATTTTGAAAGCACATAAATGGAGGAACAATTTGAGCCTAGAAACATTTCGCTACCATTTTAACGGGCACTTTACTCTTGTAAGGGGAAGTGATTGATCGTTTCGGGGGTGATTTACCGGTCAAAGGGGATGAGTACTAATATTTGAATTATGGTATATTAAAAGCATATAATTAGCACAAAATTATAGTTTTATTTTTTTTATTTTTATTATTATTTTTTTTTAATGTATTCTAACTTTATTAAAAATCAGCAGAAAACTCATTTTCGGCTTGAGCACAAAAATCAGGATTACAGCAACAAATTAGCACATAAAGAGCACTAAATTCTCCATGTGTTTCGAATGATTATGCCCATATTGGCATTCTAGCTTGATAGGCATCGCTCACGTGAGGGCTGGCTAGCTCTACCTAACGGCAGAGGGGCGGGGTGTTCGGGTAAGGGCCAGTTTGCAGGAGGACGAACGGGATATTCAAGAATAGGGGGCGAATAACATAATCGTCACCAATATGTAAATTATAAGCGTGTTTACTATGTCAAGGCGAAAGAAAATACAAAAAAAAAACAATGAAATAAAGAAGGAAAAATCGTCGACAGACAGAGAAAAATATTAATAAAGGAGAGTAATGAGGGTTGCGCTGTAGAATCGATTAAGACTGAAATCGGAGAGACAAGATAGTTACCGAGAGAACGATAGTTTAGCGAACAGATTGAACAAGCAAATTCGGTGTCGGGATCTTGCGAGTCTTCATGCATACTCATTCACGCCGCGGAATCGAACATTTCGTCGTGAGACTCGACCGAAATTTCTAAGCGTAAGGCTTCCTCTCGGACGGGAAATACGCACGATATCGTAATCGGTGAACCTCATGCAGACATAAAGACACTACTATCAATTCGAAGATCCTCACATGCAAACGCGACACGCTAGTTTAATACGTTGAGGACAAACACACAGCAACGATAACCAATCTAACATACGTTTCGCGCATACAAGTACACACCAACCGATAGTACGCGGAAAGTACTCGCGCGCGACACGTCGAGCTCCCGCTCGAAACATCCAACGCGGTAGCTCTTCCG